GAATGCCCTTAGACAGGCTTACCCAGACATCCCTAAGAAATTCTGGTCTGTGAAGTCTGTTGTTGATGGTTTTCAGTATGCAGTTGGTCAATGTGTCTTCATAGGATGGGCTGGAGAGCTTCCTGTTCTTTTAATTGAAGGAATCATCATCCTACAATGTGCCTACTGCTATGGAAGAGTTTTGAACATGAGTCATTTCAACTGGCACTTCCATGCATATGAATTTTCTGGTCTATGTTAAGAATTTGAAGTAATCAACTTAAGTCTTCTTCCCAAGCCAATTGCTTTTGACTTGTATGATCTTGATGGTGGTAACTTTGTTTCGATGAGGTATAAACTCAATGAGCCATTGATCTGTCCCACAGAATCTCAAAGAAGGCCAGTCTGAACCTGTGAATGCTGCCTCTTCCTTTTCTTCTTGGTAAGCAGGTATTGAGTTTTATTTTCCTGAAAGATCTTGAATCAGCTTAACTCTTCAGGATCTCTTATTCATGAAATTAGAATGGTTCTAATGTATTTATATCAGCAAATACTTTTTTAAATGAGATAATGAATTTAAATTACTCATGTAAAATCACTAGGTCCTTTCTACCTCAGGGATTTTTTTGCTGAAACTTTTCAATGAAAATCTTAATTAAGACTCTTCAATAAAACAATATGCAAAAATATTTTTGTCTTTCTAGTATAAACCCTTCTGAGATTTTGCCTGAACAGAAAACACAGCTGTGTTTTGGGAAAAGCGAGCAAGCAAAAGTTAACACAGAACAAGATTCCCCTGAGCAGCCCATATTCATTAGGTGAGAAAACATTGTTCCACAATTTTTTTAAATTTACTATTGAAATTCAATGGGAAGCATTTCTGTTCTGTCTAAATTTTCTCAGACAGTAATGTGCATTTGGGTCCAAAATGTCCATAGATTTTTGTTGATAAAGAATTCATCATGATCTAAAGAAAAGTCTGAATCTTGGATTTATGAAATATGGTAATGCAAAGTCTGCATGTTGTATTCATGAGTTGGTCTTCTCTTACTAATTTATATTGATGATGTGATGGTCTGTCTGAAAGGCCCTAGAAATAATTTTTTTATTGAACACCTTTAATGTTCAGTTTATGGTGAAATGGTTTGTTTTGAAGCTGTCCTGAGGTAATGGAATTTGTGTAGGTGGGTATAAGGAAACAAAGTGGATGTTGAGTTCCCATCCTTACTAAGAGTCTGAGCCTCACTTTTCTTAAAATCCATCAATACATTCTGACAGGCAAGTCTATACCCTCCAGCATGGACAAGAAAAATAGTAGGATGCCAAGTGCAGTGAATAAGGTGGATGACTGATAGTTGAAATTGAGTGGTGTGTTGGATACATGGAAAGAAGAAAATAAGCATGTGTGGGTGAATTGTCTTGCTGTTTGGAGTGCCATGACAAGTGAGATGTAGGCCAATGCAAGAGAAAGATCACTAGCATATATGCTACATCTATACAGGGTGACCTAAAAAAAATGGGGAACACTTTTCAATTTGCATTTTAAGTGTGCTGTTGTCAAGGTTTTTTTTTTCTTGTTACATATAATGGAAAGATTAACTCATTTACAAAATGCTACTTTCAGACTTGAAATATCCTAAACAATACATGCTGAATGGTACTAAAAGACACATTTACTTCTTGTAGCAACTGCTAAGGTCAATGTTTCCCTTCCCCTCCTTGTGATTGTTGGGATGTTGAGCAGATGTTGGGGTGAGAGAATGGTGGGTCAAGTCAAGGGAGGGTAGAGTGCAGGTGTTCAGCAAAAGACTGAGCATATTCATTCAGCACTCAGTGACTTGGAAAAAAATGCTTGAATTTCAGTGACAAAAAATTGGCGTTGCGCTCACTGAGTGCCGAATGAATGCTTGAAGTCTTGTGCTGAGCACCTGTACTGTACCCTTCCTCAACTCATTCAACCTACCATTCCATCACCGCAACATCTGCTCGATGGTCCAGCACTCATGAGGAGGGGAGGGGAAGCACCGAACTCAGCAGTTGCCACAAGGGTGAGATGTGCCTTTAGTCATGGGAGATTGGTGAGCACTGTGCAATCAAAATTCAATCATTTTTTATAAGTCACCATTCAAGATATTTCAAGTCAGGAAAAAATAATTTTGTAGCTGAGTCATTCTTTTCATTACATGTAACTGGGAAAAATATCCTTGAAGACATCACACCTAAAATGTACATTGAAAAGTGTGCCAATTTTTTAGCCACTCTGTATATACATACTGCACACCCACGGAAAGAAGTACAGTAGAACGCCGATTATCTGAACTGCCCCCGTCTTTTTAAAAATTATTATCGTACGCAATGCGCATGGCATGGAGCATTGGCGTACAAACACCGGAAAACAATTCTGACCCCCTGTCGCACCATCCAGGTAAAATCTAGATACGTACTGTACATGCATGCATACGCACATTTTGAATAATCACACAACAGAGTGAGTGTTGTTCAACGCAACTTCTGTTTCTGAAAAGGATGAGGGACTTGGCAGCGAAGAAAAGAATTTCAAAATTGAAACAACGGAAAATTGATGATTACTGTACATGATACACTGTACAATAAAGCACCATACATGTATAAGGTAAGAATATATTGTATTCTGTGCACTAACTTCTTTAACGCAACCTTTCCGTGGGAGTGTTCGGTTATCCGAAAAAATATGTTATCCGAACCACCCCCGGTCCCAATTAGTTCGGATAATCGGCGTTCTACTGTACATGAAATCACTTTGGGGACTGTTTTGAATGGAGCCATGTCATGGAGTGAAAGGTACATGCATCAAAGCAGAAAAGCTGAGAATGAAAATTTTGATAGGTTCTGATACATATAACTTATTACATATTTTGTCTCAATAGCTCTCAGTCCCTGCACATGGAAGGGCAGCAAATCCCCTTGACTTCAAATAGAAAAGGGTCATATGAACTTCCAAATCTTCATGCCTTGGGAACCTTAGCGAATCTTCTGTCCCAGAAGAGAGCTCCAACTTCATCAGAAANTTTTAGCTGTGGTCGAATTTGTCGCTTCTGTGGGACAACTCGAAATAACGTGAATAGTGTATACACTGAAGCAGATTGCAGATTGAGAACAGATGGTGCTCATTATTATCATGTGCAGGCAGTTTCACAAGACCCAAGGCTTCAGTCTACATATGGTGTTACAGGGCAATGCCCATTTGTCGACTTGCCAGCTTTCAGTGTCACCAATTGCTTTGTTCCTGATCTCATGCATGATGTATTGGAAGGCTCATTGATGCTAGTCCTGAAATTGGTGCTTAGTTCCCTTATACATGCCAAGTTTTTCACACTCCAGCAGCTGAATCATCAAATCACAGCATTTTCTTATGGGAAAGCTGATGCAGCAAATAAAGTACAGGTTATCAAGAAAATAAGCCTTCAGGGATCTGGATCAATCCATGGGTCTGCTTCTCAGAAATGGTGTCTTTTACGCCTACTACCCTTCTTTGTTGCTGACATGATTCCAGAAGGAAATGAGGATTGGGAAATCTATTTGAACTTTCGAGAAATTGTTGATATAATTTTCTCACCAGTCATACAGAAATCCCTCATCTCTTATTTACATGTTCTCATACAAGATTTTCTACAGGCATTCATTGACAGATTTCCTGGTGTCACAATCACCACAAAGATGCATCATCTCATCCACTACCCTAGACTCATCCTGTCATTTGGCCCTCTCATTCAGTACTGGTGCATGCGCTTTGAGGCAAAGCATGGATATTTCAAGAACCTTGTCTCCCGACTTTTTAATTTCAAAAATGTGGCTTTTTCTCTTGCAAAAAGGCATCAACTATGGCAGTTCTATTCTTTTCAGGGTGCAATGTTCAATGAAGGCATTCAACATAGTCGGGGGGAATTAATATTTCATGATGACTGCCCAGAACCTATCCTGAATGCCCTTAGACAGGCTCACCCAGACATCCCTAAGAAATTCTGGTCTGTGAAGTCTGTTGTTGTTGATGGTTTTCAGTATGCAGTTGGTCAATGTGTCTTCATAGGATGGGCTGGAGAGCTTCCTGTTCTTCTTTTAATTGAAGGAATCATCATCCTACAATGTGCCTACTGCTATGGAAGAGTTTTGAACATGACTCATTTCAACTGGCACTTCCATGCATATGAATTTTCTGGTCTATGTTATGAATTTGAAGTAATCAACTTAAGTCTTCTTTCCGAGCCAGTTGCTTTTGACTTGTATAATCTTGATGGTGGTAACTTTGTTTCAATGAGGTATAAACTCAATGAGCCATTGATCTGTCCCACAGAATCTCATAGAAGGCCAGTCTGAACCTGTGAATGCTGCCTCTTGCTTTTCCTCTTGGTAAGCAGGTATTGAGTTTTATTTTCCTGAAAGATCTTGAATCAGCTTAACTCTTCAGGATCTCTTATTCATGAAATTAGAATGGTTCTAATGTATTTATATCAGCAAATTCTTTTTTAAATGAGATAATGAATTTAAATTACTCATGTAAAATCACTAGGTCCTTTCTGCCTCAGGGATTTTTTTGCTGAAACTTTTCAATGAAAATCTTAATTAAGACTCTTCTATAAAACAATATGCAAAATTATTTTTTTGTCTTTCTAGTATAAACCCTTCTGAGGTTTTGCCTGACCAGAAAACACAGCTGTGTTTTGGGAAAAGCGAGCAAGCAAAAGTTAACACAGAACAAGATTCACCTGAGCAGCCCTTATTCATTAGGTGAGAAAACATTGTTCCACTATTTTTTTTAATTTTGATAGGTTCTGATACAAATGACTTATTACATATTTTGTCTCAATAGTTCTCAGTCCCTTGTGTACCTTCCCGTCGTTTAGGGGAACTGAAGTTTATCTTTTCCCAGTATACTTGAAGGTTTAGAAGTACGGAACCCTTGGAATCGCTTAGAAGACAGGGTCTTCTCTCGAGGTTGAAGTAGTCTTTGAAAGCATATTGTAGACGTAGTTGCCAAATCACTGATGGATCACACACTGTAAGTGACATCTGCTCCAATACTTTCCCCTTCCCATTGAGAGTGATGCATTATCATGCTTAGGTCCATTCCAATTCCAGATACCCTGGAAAGCTATATGGAATTGCAGCTCGAAAACTAACATCAGTGTATCTATTCCTTGCAGACCCAATTGGAGAAGGACATGTATGTTAACAACCTTTTTTTTTATTCATTTGATTAGTTGGTTTTTATTTCAGTTGAGAATACATATTTCTTGACAGGAATCTTGGCTGCTGTATCTATTCCTTGCAGACCCACTTGGAGAAGGACATGTATGTTAACAACCTTTTTATTTATTCATTTGATTAGTTGGTTTTTATTTCAGTTGAGAATACATATTTCTTGACAGGAATCTTGGCTGCATGCTCTTCAAAATAAGGTCAAATATGAACGTAAAGTTCACCTGAGGGACCATCCTGATTTTATGAAAACAGTCACAAGACAGATGAAGGAGAAGCAGGGTGAGGGAGCAGTAGGGACTCTTCAAATTGTGAGAATAAAAAAGAAAGAGGATGTAAGTTTTCCTAGGACTCCAGAAATGCATTAATCTGATCTCCATTTAATTTGCAACAACGATCTAATAATTTTCTCTTCCTCAGATTTCTTGAAACATTTCTTACACTTTCAGGGTACCTATTATTACCCCTAATTCAAATTAGTTATTTCTGCATCCTTAATGTTGTGTTAGGCTCATCAGAAATGATGTTTATTGTTTGGAATGGTGGAAATGTTAGCTTATGATTATTCTTCCAGGCTGAAGGAGAAGATGAAGTTTCAATAGCAGCACATGTATCAGCAATGAAGGAGGAGTTCAAGAAAGCCTCCCCAGATTTGATACTTGTATCTGATCGGATGGACAGGACACTTGCAACGAGAATGAAGTTTATTCAAAGCAACTCGGTGAAGGCCTGCTTGGAAGAATTTCCATTCCTAAGGTCCCATGAAGAGGTATGAGCCCAATATGGAAAAGTTTATTGAAAATTTTTATTCAGACCAGTATATCTAATTTCTTGATGATATATTTTCCTAAAAATTCTCAGTGTGAGTGCATGTACTACTTCCAGTGGGTTTATAGATTTTGTGTGTATGCTTGCAATCTGCCCCAATCTTGAAAGACGATGATGAATGATGAAAGATGATGGTCGCAACATGCATGACATCATACAGCGAATTGAAGAAGCAATCAAATTGTTTGATTCTGTCTAAAACTGGTTCAGTCAACTTTGGGTGGCTTGAGAGCTCAATGGGTGGTGGTCTGTGAGCTAGATGGGGAATTGATCTTGCATTAAATTCAAAGATTTGAAATCCTGTTTTGAATGCTATTTCAAAGAGGGATTGAACCGCAGAAAAAAGTATGTATTTTCATCTAGATAAGAGATTTTCCAGCAAAAATTGACTCAATAAAAGTAATGTGTCAAGAGCTCTTCAAGAATATATCTATTTGCAGAGTTTGCTCCTCTGAGTGCAAAGATACAGCCTCAAGAAAAAAAAGGTTTGCTTTGAACCACTTTGGACCATTTTCATCTTTTTTGATTAAATTAATTTTCCAGTGGCAGATAAAAGTGTCGTATTAGATGATGACATGGATGTTAGCATTGACATGGAACAGTAAAATAAACATTTGCTTGGGCACATTCCAATGAGGGCAAGAGGTTGAGGAATACAAAATTTAGCAATTGATCTGCAGGCCAGCCATCTGGTTTACAGATCAATTACTTCATTTTGCATATAATCTAATGAAGTGTTTTGCAAGAAATCAGTTATGATGAATAACTTACAGTTCTTGCAAGTCATATCTATTGAGTGCCAGGATTTCTAAATGAAGACCCCAAATAACCCATCTGCCTACCCAGCCATGGAATTGATGGTCCTGTACAGAGTTATACTTAATCAATTACAGTTGCATATATCATGAACATTTAGTAATGGGTTCTGAATTATTTTGTACCCAGAAATTGATTTAAATGCTGCAAAACTTGTTATTTAACTGTAGTAACTTCTTCTCCATATTTTTTCCCTTATTGAAATACGGAATCTTGAGGTGTAAACTACTGTTTTGACATTAACTGATATATTACCATATCATGCTCAGCAGTGCTCCTGGCATGCAACATCTAAATACTTATGTATTTGATGTAGTATGTCCCCTTGAAATTCTGGGCTGAGTGAAAATACTCCTACTCTCGGGGGTAGTGCTTGGATGCTCTGATTTTTTTATTATGGGACCTCCTTTCCTGAAAGGAACTAGAATGCTTATTTTTTTCTTGTGTCTGTGTTTGTCTTGGATTTTTGTTGTCTGGTGACAAAAAGAGGTATTTCTCTAGTAACAGTAAAAATCACTATACTGCTACATATGTAGAAGACACAGGTTAGGTTCATTTCTAAAATATTGTGCCAAAAGCAGATTTCATTAACCAAATTTTGAATTTCTTAACATTTCTCACAGTTGGAAAAGCATGTACAGCAGACAGCTTTCTTGTGTCTCAGCCTTGAGGTGCATTCTCTGCACAGAGCCAGGATCAAGGAATCATGTCTCTAACTGGGTCTGCCTCATCCTTTCCAGCCTTTCATTTTTGATGGATCCATTGTTAACAGAGAGAGTCCATGCATAGCATCAGAGGCAGGCTTGCTAGTTGAGCTCATGTGATGCTTTATTCCATATATGAGCATGCTGCACATCATACTCCCCTCCCCTCTCCCAACCTACCAGTCACCCCCTTCTATTCCCAACAAACATTTAAAGGAGACCCACTGCAGGACTGGGCTTGCCTATCTTGTTTTGGTGCCAATGATATGCCTATACCAATGGTTTGGTGTGAGCAACACACGTCCACACTTCTCCATTTATATGTCCTCAATTAACCTTTGAATTACATAAGTGAACCCAGACAAGTTTGAAACTGAGGAATGGAACCTCAATGTCAATGAAGATTATTTCCTTAGACTCCGACAACTTCAAACTTCAGAATAGATTTTCATTCATAAAGGGAAGAAAAAAGATGTTTTTTTATTGTTCCCTTCCTTCACCCCAGTACCACATGCGTATATTCAAACCTCTTGATTATTTTCATTGAGGGACAACTTCAAACTTCAGAATAGATTTTCATTCATAAAGGGAAGGAAAAAGATGGTTTTTTATTGTTCCCTTCCTTCACCCCAGTACCACATGCCTATATTCAAACCTCTTGATTATTTTCATTTTTTCAAATTCAATTTTCTTGCTATGTATTAACAATGAATAATGCTTACTTCTCAAACAAACATTTTAAAATTCCATTAGGTGCTGAAGGATTTCATGCGAATCACAGGAAAGGACCTGAAGCATAGCATTGTTTTGGGACTCTCTACCTATGGGGAGAGAATCATGGCTCTTGCCAGGAATAGCAAGGTGCAAGAGTTGAAAGTCTGCTTTACAGTGATGGCCAAAGGAATGGAAGAGGGTCCAAGTCTCACTTGTGAGTGTCAAGTCATCCTTGTAATCTGCCTTCTCGTGTGCAAAAACTATTATGTATGCATTGTCAATTTCAGTGCTCAAAACGGTGGCTTCACTTGCCTTATTACCAACTCTAATGAGAGAAGAAATTTCAGCTGCTTTCATTCAAGATAATGTAAGTCATTATGTGATTCTTTTCTTTGTGCAAAGGAAATGTAAACACTTTCTGATTCTTCTATTCAATTGTTTTTGACAGGAGGAACAAGTACCCCTTCACCCACACATCAAATACCAAGGTGATCTCTTTTCATCAAGGGATCACAAACTTTTTGTTGACCGAGTATTTCTCTGTCAGTCAACAGATGCTATAGAGTCCTTCTGTGCTCTATTTGCTACATATTGGATTTTTAACATTGCATACCCTACAGGGTGCGCCATAAGTCTTTTGACAAAATTAAAATGATGACAACATAACAACGGAACAAAATTTATTTTTAGAACTTAGTCACATGATTCACTAAAGGGAAACAAGCAAAAGTTCACAGTCTCATTCAAATCGTCCACCGCCTGCATCCACACAGGCTTTCAGTCTCAGACGCCAAGAATCGATGACTGAACTTGGAAGAGCACATATTAAGCATAACAGAAGGGGATATGATGTATACACATTAACAGTATATGATTCAAAACGGTATTATACGGTGCATTAACGGTATATGGTGCAAAAGTAAATATTGGTGCTATTTTAAAAACTGCAATTTCAAAAAATTGCACTCCTGCTTCCATTATCATCCAAAAAACTATTGTTGCATTGAAGTAAGTGATGTCTAAAGTAAAGGGATATTTTTGGTGATATTGGATTGGATTTATTGAGGTGCTGGGTTTTCTTTGTCACAGTGTATGTGGGCCAGCATAGTGGTTGACCTAAGAATCTTGTATGTTGATGGTATTGAATTGCATATTGAACTAAGTTAACAGAAGTGAAATTGTATAGACAGGAATAACATTTTGAAAAATACTGCTCCAAAGAGTCTCAGTTTTGAGATGATTCCCTCTACTGAATTAACATTCTGATGAAAATTGTGTTATCCATGATGCCAATTCCTTGCACTCATTGGGTGTTGAGGGCATCTTCTGAAACTGGTGTTTTCAATCGTGTAAATATGAGATCTTTGATACAGATGAGACATGGTGTGTTTTGGGGGAGTCAGTCCCAAAGAACATAGGTATTCCTGCAGGAAGCCTGTATCATGAAGCTTGTAGGCATGAACTTCACCATATGAATATGGCTTTTCCGTCCTTCGCTTCACTGCACACTTTTGAAAAGAACAGTGACCAAGACATTATTTATATATATGTGCAACTTCATTAATATGGTCCGTGTTACCCCTTGATTTTGGGAACATTTGTTAACCTGTTCAATTAATTAATGTTTGGGGAGGACATTCTTGGTTTGGGAGTTTTTGCTCACTGTGGAGAGTGAATTTGCTCCTCTTTTGGAGAGCTTTTTCACCCGTGCTCTGGGAGCAATTTTGCTCCTCCCGGAATTTACTCCCTTCTCAGAGTAAAGAGAGAGTGAAACTGGAGTTATCGATTTTACTCTCTTTTCTGAGCTAATTCACTCACTATTTTTTAAGAGTGTAGGCCGCTAGTATCAATAGAAAGAGTTAAATGAGAGTATGAGGTTTCATAAGAACTTTAATAACATAATTCATGTCACAAAACGGAAGTCATGGTTTGTAAAATGTTAGCAATGACACGATAATGTTTGCATCTGACACAACAGAATTCTTATGGGTTAACTTGACAGGGCTTCAGTAAGAAACAGATTGAGGATCACATTTGTTGATGTTAATTTTGTTTCCAGTTTTCTTGATGTGCACACTGTTGTTCTCAATGATGAGGAGGCAAGACTAAAGTCCGAGGATGTGTAGTGTACCATCTTCATCAGCAATTCCAATGGGTCCCCATACTGTGTTGAATCCCTCTAAGTCTCCACTTTGTTTCCATTTGGCGAAATCTCCATTGATGGCATTCTTCAGTTTTGACTGGAAGGAACTCAAGGGAGAAATGGTATTAGTGTACAGTAAACTCAATTAGAAACGGTATATGCAAAATATATAGTGTGAGAACCGGTTACAATAATTCTTTAGTTATTCTGTAAACCTGAGAGCACCTTCTGACCTAGAACACAGTACTTTGTATGTTAAAAAGAATTTGTCGTCAATAAATAATGATGAATCAACTTTGTGTGACAGGACATTTAAAAAATTCCTCAACGATGTTAATTTTTTGCATGAAATGAACATGTGAGCCAACGTTCCTAGCTCTCCACAATAGGGGCATGTAGGTGTATTGGTCAGCTTCATCTTATGTAAAAGAACAGGCTATTTAAAAAATTCCTCAATGATGTTAATTTTTTGCATGAAATGAACATGTGGGCCAACGTTCCTAGCTCTCCACAATAGGGGCATGTAGGTGTATTGGTCAGCTTCATCTTATGTAAAAGAACAGGCGTTGATAAGCTGCCATGATTTAGGCGCCATGAGATATCACCATCTTTTTTTGATGATGGAAATCTATAGGGAGCTTTCCATATTATTGGTGTGTCTTTTAAGTGCATTAGAATATTTTCTAGTTGGTGGACAGGATGAGTGACCTTATATTTTGAATGGACACATGAGAGGGCAAGTTCATATGTGGATTGACTTGATAAAGAAGAAAGAAAACGAGGTTTCAACGCACTCGAGAGAGAGATTTCTAAGTGGGAGACAATATTTGATAGGAAGAGTTTTTTTGTCGGTGGAGACGTTATTTTAAGTTCAAGAGGGAATACATTTTTAAGTTTATCCAGGTCGATGCACAATTGCCTGTGAGTTTGAGGGGAAATGGAACTAGGAAGTTGAAGTGAATCTATGTCTTTCCAGCCATTGGATTCTATGAGGTCACTCAAGGTTGCTTGTGCTACTCTAGACCAGGCTTTTGATGGTGAAAACTGGATATTATCAAAGGGAAGGGTTTCACGTAAGAAAATATAGGAACATTCAGAGGGGAAAAACTTTTTAAGCTTAAGATGCCTGTTCAAGGTAAACCAGAGTTGGGAGAGCCCTTGGTAATAATTAGGCGAAGGGTTGGGAGGTACAGAGGGGGGTTTAGACAAAAGGAAGGCTCCCAGGTGAGGAGGGGAGATATCACAAGTTAGACAAAAGAAAAAGAAGAAGAAATCATACGGAGGGGAACTTGTGTCATCTGATAAAAACCTTCTGATGTGACTTAGCCTGAAGGCTAGTCTTCTGGCTTCCAGAGAACACATGCCTTGTCCGCCATTCAAAATGGATCTCTCTAGGTAAACTGGGTGTAACCAATGCTTTTTTTGCCAAATAAGATTCCTGAATTTTGTCTCGAGGTTTGAGATGAAACCAGGAGGTGGGTCAAGACATGCTAAGGTATGAAAAAGACGACTAGCAAGTATCTGGTTAACAACTAAAATTCTACCACGGAAGGACATGGAACTAAAACGACGAGACCATTTGCGGATCCTTAACAGTTAGAAGAAAAGTCGGAGTCCGGTTAAAGGTCTAAGCTTCCTTAATAATGGTTCTATTTGAGGATTTTTGAATCTTGGTAGTAATGCGGTTCATTTTAATAATCCGCTCAGACAAGAAGAAAGCCAAGCACCACAAAAAAGGCCGGTACTTTTGTTGTTATTAAGACAGGAGTTGGAGGCTTGAGCAAAAATGTTGCAACATTCAGATAAAACAGGAAAGCTGGAGTCGGTTGAGATGAAAATTGTAATGTCATCAGCATAGGCTGAGGTAATTAAGGGCTCTGATAAAAAAGGGGGATGAAGGGAGCAACTATTTAGACGATGTCTCAGCAAACATAAGAAGGGTTCAAGGGAAATTGAATAGAGGAATCCAGACAACGGATCGCCCTGGCGAACGCCACGTTTAAAGGGAAAGGGGGAAGATAAAAGCTTTCCTAGTCTCAAAAGACATGTCTCAGCAAACATAAGAAGGGTTCAAGGGAAATTGAATAGAGGAATCCAGACAACGGATCGCCCTGACGAACGCCACGTTTAAAGGGAAAGGGGGAAGATAAAAGCTTTCCTAGTCTCAAAAGACACTGAATGTTGTTGTATAAAAGTCTATACCAAAAATCGCGATTTGTTCCCTTCGGTTTAGAAAGATTCCACATTTTCTCCATTAGTACCAAGTGTGCCAGTTTTCGAAAAAGAACCAGATTTCTCTATTATGGGTTACCTTACAACAACCTTATTGCATATGAGAGGGTGTCACGAATCAAGTGGAGATTGTCATGTATGGTTCTACCAGGAACACAGTAAGTTTGATCCTTGTGGACAATGGAAGAAATAACCTTTCGTAACCTTAAAGTCATGACTTTTGCAAGTATCTTGTAATCAGTGTTGAGGAGACTGATTGGACGCCAATTTTTTATTTGTAGGCGGTCGCCAGTTTTAGGTACAAGTGATGAAACGCCTCTTCTCATAGATATTGGGAGTTCACCAGACTGGAGTGAGAAAAGAAAGACATCAAATAATGAAGACCGTAAAAGAGGCCAAAAGCATGTATAAAATTCGGTTGAAAGGCCGTCAAGTCCTGGGCTTTTTCCTTTTGACAAGGATTTTAGAGCAATATCAAGTTCAGCAATGGCGAATGGGGAATTTAAAAAGGAAGACTCTTCATCAGAGAGACAGGGTGTATGATCATGAAGTTCAGGAGTCAGGTTTATGGGGTTGGGGCTAAAGAGGGTTCTATAAAAGGAGGAAAGGGAGGAAAGTATGGATTTTGGGTCGGTTAAAATTTCGCCTTTGCAGTCTCGGATTTGGTTAATAGTCTGGCGGACTCCTTTATTGGTTTCAAGGGAAAAAAAATGAGGGTTCTATAAAAGGAGGAAAGGGAGGAAAGTATGGATTTTGGGTCGGTTAAGATTTCGCCTTTGCAGTCTCGGATTTGGTTAATAGTCTGGCGGACTCCTTTATTGGTTTCAAGGGAAAAGAAATAGGCAGTGGGAGCATCATTTAGTTCTAAGGTTCTTTGGCGGGAACGAATTAATGCTCCCTCAGCAAGGTGTGTGATATACCGTGTTAAGTTGGATTTGAGTGTTTCCAGTGCTGGGGAAGATGGATCAAATTGCTCAAGGAAGGAAATGTCAGACTGAAGGGAAAGGTAGCGGATCATGAAATCAGATTTTTTTAGAGAAGAAAAATTCTGAGCATGTGACTTAATTTTAGATTTTGCTACATCCCACCATAGGGCAATATTGTCATATTCACTTTTCTCTACAGATATTTTAGACCACAAATTCCTGAAGGAAGTCCTATAATTAGGGTCTTCTAAAAGGGAGTTGTTAAAATGCCAGTAGGCTGACCCTCTCATTGATGAAAGGGGGGAGGAAAGAGAAATAAAAACGGCTGAGTGATCAGAAATTGGATAGAATGGAACTATTTCAGTTTGTGAGATTTTTGAAAGCGAATGAGTGTTTACATAAAATTTATCGAGACGGGCTCTAGATTGGGGATTGTTTGAACTTTTGTGCGTGAATTTTTTTTGCTACATCCCACCATAGGGCAATATTGTCATATTCACTTTTCTCTACAGATATTTTAGACTACTAATTCCTGAAGGAAGTCCTATAATTAGGGTCTTCTAAAAGGGAGTTGTTAAAATGCCAGTAGGCTGACCCTCTCATTGATGAAAGGGGGAAGGAAAGAGAAATAAAAACGGCAGAGTGATCAGAAATTGGATAGAATGAAACTATTTCAGTTTGTCAGATTTTTGAAAGCGAATGAGTGTTTACATAAAATTTATCGAGACGGGCTCTAGATTGGGGATTGTTTGAACTTTTGTGCGTGAATTTAGTGTCAGTTGGGTGGAAATCACGCCAAGCACCTGTTAGATTA